AAAGAAATATTTTAAAAAAGAAGAAGAAGAAGAAAGGAATCACAAAGAATCCCAAGCAGGTCAGACAGAAAGTGAGAAATGTCCACTGCAAAAATTAAATCTCTCTTCCACCCCAGTGATCCTCTCTCGAGGCAATCAATATGAAGTATCTAAGTATCTTTCCAGTTTTCTCTGCCATAGACAAATATTTATTTATTCAAGTGGGAGCTTTCTCAACATACCATGGAATTTATTTCCTAACCACCCTAGTAGGTCCTGTAGTTTCTGGAAGCTACTATTGCATCTATAACTTTCTTGGACATGTGTCTTTGCACTTATTTGTAACAAATCTTCCAAAGTGGAACAGCTGTGTCACATGATATGTGCATCTTTACCTTCAGGAAATGTTGCCAAAGAGCCTTCCAGAGACTTCATTGTGACACTCCCATAAAAAGATGGGAAGATGCCTTAAAAACAAAAATGAAAACACCGCTTACTATAAACTTTTAATCTTGGCCAATCTGATGGGTGAAAAAATGAAATCTCATAGCTGTTGCAATTTGGCTTCATGATCACCCTCATTACTACTCAGATTGAAGACGTTTTCATATATTATGATACTTTGAAGTACCTAGTACTATTCTTAGTCCATTTAACTTTGGGAATGTTGGTCATTTTTTAAATAGATCTACAAGAGCTCTTTTTATACTACAGGATAGCTTTTGCTTATTAGGTGTATTGGAAGTACTTTTCACAGCACCATTACCTTCTGACCTTGTAGGCTTTGCCACACGTATATTTTAACTTCTATGAAGTCAATTTTATTTACCTTTTTCTTTCTGTTCCTAGGTTTCCTGTTTCCTGTGAAACACCTTCACTCTAAGATAATTTTTCATATTGCCTTCGTCTCCTTCTTCAATGTCACTCCAAGAAAGAAGCAGCTGGAAGCCCGGAGGGTCTGAGTTTGTCTCTCTGCAGCTTTTCAGAGCAGCCTTCCTTGCCTTTGGAGATGCTTCTCAAACAAGAGTGGAGTCTGCAGAGCACAGCCTGCCAGGAGGTCACAGGGGCTTGGAGTCGGGGAAGTCACAAGCGTGGAATCATTTGGGGAATCCGGGTGACGGTTATATGGGAAATCTTCTACTATGCTGACTAGATTTCTGTGCATCTGAAATTATGCTGAAATAAAGATTTTTTAGAGGGATAAAACAGGGAGCAGCGCACGGCCACACAGCCACAAGTTGGGGTGAGAGGGTGGAGGCCCTGCATACCCTCCAGATGAAAGACAAGGGTTTGGAGGTGGTTGGCCAAGGCAAGATTTCACCCACTCACTGCTGGACGTGCCCACAAGCCCTTCAGCTTCTTTCCTGCATTCTCTGGGCGAGACTCCAGCCCTGATATCTGGGGCTTCCTCGGAGTCCGTCCTCTGGGGAGGAAACAAGCCCTAAATATGCGGTCCTGGGTTAGTCGTGATCCTGCCCTGGCTGCCATGGGTGGGTTTTGGGAAAGGGGCATTGATTACGAATAATAAAACCTTGGAACCTTACATGTCAGACCTAGGAACCAGGAGCCAAGATGAGCCAATTTAAAAGGGAAAGAAAATGGAGAATGACACCCGTTTGTCTCATATGTCACCCCAAAATAGGGCCAGGCCCCGTGACCTCACCTGCGTGTGTCTAGCCATTCCAGCTACCGTCAAGATCAACTCTAGAAGAGCTGGACTAACCTTGACTAACTTTCTAGTTTTCTTTGTTTTTTTCATTTCAAGTTGAAAAGTTAGAGATGCTTGTGATTTTTAAAATTTTGTTCTATATTTTGAACAAATAATGCCTCCACATGGCTCAAAATTTTAAAAGTACCCCAGCCACTTTAATGCATCCTAGCTGCTAGTTTCTTTTAGAGCTTTCCAGAGATGTTATATGCACTGAGAAGCAAATATGTTTATGCATAATTTCCCTTCTAATTCATACAAAGGGGAGCAATGTGTTCTGCGCTTTGAGTCTTTCCATGGAAACTGTATCTTGGAAACACTGGAGATCTTTCCATCAGCATGTGGAGACCTGGCCCATTCTTTTTCACGGCTGCGTAGTGTTCCATTGTATGGCTGGCCCATCATTTAGTTAACTAGCACCCTATCCATAGGCATTTAGGTGGCTTTCAACATCTCACTAGTACAATCAGCACTGCAAAGAATAAGCTTGTACAGAGATCATTTTACCTGTTTGTGTGTATTATCTATAGGAAGGATTTAATGCCTTGAAGTGGAAATGTTGGGCCAAAGAGCTTAAACATTTGTAATACGGATAGACATTAATGCTCTGCTCTCCACAGGGGCACTTGTCATTTTCTTAAGTGATGTTAATTCTACTGAAAGGAGCCAGCCTGGTGTGGCAGCAGAAGTCGCAGACCAGGGGAGAGGGGAATCTGAGACGGAGCCCAACCCTGCAGTAACGCGTTGCATGTCCCTGGGAAAGCCGGCTTTGTCTGATTCCTCGCCTGAGAAGTGAAGGGACTGAGTAAGGTGCCCAGGGACTTCCCTGGTGGTCCAGTGGTTAAGACTCTGTGCTTCCAATGCAGGGGGCGTGGGTTCGATCCCTGGTTGGGGAACTAAGATCCCACATGCCCTGTGGCGCAGCTGAAAAAAAAACGAGTAAGGTGCCCAGGACCCGACAGTCACCTTTGCTGCCATAAGGAGAGGCAGAGGTACCCCTTGGAATAATGAGAACCGGGTCAGCAGCTTTCTGCAGTCCTCCGAATAAAAGAAACCAAGGCCTAGTGCACACAGCACTTACAAAAACCTGGGGCTGGGCTCTGTCTGCAGGGAGGCCCTGGTCCTGCTCTGGGGGCTCAGGGATGGGAGGGGGATGCTTACTTTTCTCTGTATTTCCTTTTCCACCATTAGAATTTAGCACCATGTGCATGAATTACCTATTCAAAAGTTAAATTCACTATTTAGAACAGAAACAAAGAGAAGCCTTCTGGAAAGCATCCTGGCCTGGGAGGGAGGAGGTCTGGGTTTTAGCTGCTTCACTTCTCTGGGCCTCCTTCATCTCCTTTGACCAGTGAGGGGCTTGAACAAGATGAACTTTCTCTGGTTCCAAGCCAGAGTGAGTATAAAAGCATCCAAGGGGAACAGACTTTGGGGTCAGACAGAACTGGGCCTGAGTCCTGGTTCCCTCAACAGAACTGCTGTGTGACCTTGGGCAAGTTACTCAACCTCTCTGTGCCTCCATCACCTCATCTGGAAGATGGAGATAAGAACACCCATGTCACAGGTCTGTTGGGGGGAGTAGGAGGTCATTTGTCTAAAGCAGGTTCTATGGTGCCAGGCTCAGTAAAGGGTGCTGTAATCAGGTGAGGGCAATTCTAAATACTCTACAGAAAATGAGCTCTACAGGGAACCTTAGAGAGTGTCCATTCTGACATCCTCAGTTTACAGATGCAAAGTGGCAGTGCAGAGAGGGTGGGATATATTGGCTGTCAGCCGAGGAACCCAGCACGCCTTCCTTCTCTCTTCCTGCCCAGAACTTCTGGGCCTCAGGAGATGTGGCTCTAACTCAGTTCCTTGTGTGATGGCATTTTATCCATCAGCTGGTCCCAAAGAGTCGTCTATTTTCACGTTCCCTGCCTGGCACAGGTGACACCAGGGTCTGGTCACAGGCCACTGGGACTCTGAGGCCCCAGTATTGCAGCTCCAAAACCACGCCACGGTCTGGCCTTCCCAAGTGATGGATCCCAGCCAACTCCTGGGATATTGGGGTCAGGGACATCCCACTTAAGACCCTCTGCTCTCTACTCACAGAGAGGACAGGCTTCAGGCCCTACCATGGGACAGGAAGTTCAAAATGCAAACTCTCCTAGAAAGATAGGCATGGACCGAATTTCACATTAACCCAGAGATGATGGGATGAGTAGAAGGGAGAAGAGAGAAAGGCAGGGAAGAAGGGCCTGAAAACAACAGGAGGGGTGAGAGACGGGTATTCATTTCAAAATGAAACTCACAGGGGACTGATTTTATAGCCAGGAATGGAATCTCCTCATTTCTGTGTCCCCAGCCCATGGCCTGGCACACGGCCAGTGCTCAACAGAGGAATGAATGCACGCGTCAACGAACGGGTGAGCAGCTCAGAGACCTGTTGTTTAACTGGGATAATGTGTGAGGAAAGGCTCTGCACCACGAATCTCAGTGCCGCCAGCGCCTGGCACACAGTAGGGCCTAAGTCGCTGTGTGCTGATGGCACGGGTGCGCCTCCCAGAGGTGGGGGAAAACTATGTCCTCTTCTTCCAAAGGAAGCTGGTAGTCTCTTTTGGAAGGAGAGCCTCATCAGCATTGCTTTGGGGATTCAAACCTGCCCCCGGCCAAGCTCTGTGAGCATCTCCCGGGTCTGAGGAAGGAGGGAGGCGAGGCCCTGTCTAAATCATAAAGACGTTGCATCCTGATACATTTTCCTCCCTTTCTTGTGGAGACGAGGAGGAGTTAGTAAATCCACATCCACAGATCTGCAGGAGCAAAATCTTGTCTTCTTGTATCAGAAGCTATAAGCTCATTTCTAATCCGACAAGTCCACACAAAAACTTGTACACAAATATTCTTATCAGCATTACTCACAATAGCCACAAAGTGGACACAACCCATATGTCCATCACAAGGTGAATGGATAAACAAAATGTGGTACCTGCACACAATGGAATAGCATTCAGTCATAAAAAGAAATAAAGTACTGATACATGTTACAACCTGGATGCGCCTTTAAAATATTATGCTAAATGAAAGAAGCCAGACGCAAAAGGCCATATACTGTATGATTCTATGCCTATGAAGTGTCCGGAATAGGCAAATCCAAAGAGACAGAAAGCAGATTTGATTGCCAGGGGGCTGGGGTACCGTAGCATGGAGAGTGACTGCTAATGGGTGTGGGAGTTTCTTTTTGTGGTGGTAAGATGTTCTGGAATTAGACAGTGGTGATGGTTGAAAACTTTGTGAATATACTAACAAAATACTGAATTATACACATTAAAAAAGAAATAAGTAAAATTTTAAAACCAGAAAAAAAATTAGTAACACTAATCAGGTTATTGGCTGTTGAACCTGGACGTCAAACTGTCAGCTCCAGAGCAAACAAACTCCAACCCATCATCCAGGGTGCACACCAGAAAGACAAATACAGATACACAGTTCATTCTCGTATCAAGGTACGATACCTCTGGGGCTTCCCTGGTGGCGCAGTGCTTGAGAGTCCGCCTGCCGATGCAGGGGACACGGGTTCGTGCCCCGGTCCGGGAAGATCCCACGTGCCGCAGAGTAGCTGGGCCCGTGAGCCATGGCCGCTGAGCCTGCGTGTCCAGAGCCTGTGCTCCGCAACGGGAGAGGCCACAGCAGTGAGAGGCCCGCGTACTGCAAAAAAAAAAAAAAAAAAAAAAAAAAAA